TTTKRAWKRAMMSCTTTYTGGCGCTGAGAAATCAAATCAAGGCCTTTTAATTTTTTTTTYCTGAACTAGTCTCAGTCCTTTACGGCYAGCGCAAAGGATGACGGTAGTCGAGCCGTGGCGGGAGATGTGAACGGCGTGTTGTGTGAAGAGTTCAATATCACTTTTATAATTATTTCATCGTTGTTTTTACGAATTATTTTCCTTTTTGGGAGGACGATGGAAGATCAATGTAGCCAGGTTATAGAGGAAGGCTTGAACTATTTCAGAGAGAGTAAGTTTTCAAAACTAGACGATGAAGTGTTGAGTTCWYTGCTACCTGCCTCGTCAAACACTGGTCATCCATTACAGTCAATGTCACCAGGAAAGGAACAAACAAGCGCTCACAGCCCTGCTCCACCAACACCCCCAATGGAGGAAGATTATATTTCTGTATTAGAGGATAAGACTGATAATTCAGCAGTTTCAACCGAACTGGGKACCAGTGATAATCAAGGAACAGATGGAAATGAAAAGCTTTCGTGTTCGCCAATGCGCGACCAAATCATTGAAAGGCCATCTGAGCACGAAGTGATCGCTCCATCGCTTGAAACCACAAATGTGGAAGAAAGCGAAGATTTATCTAMGCAAAACACAAGTTCACCAGCTAAACAGTCTTTAGATGATAGTGCCCTGCTTCGCAAAGAGCTAAAACATGCAATGGATCCTCTAACAATTCCATGCTTACAGTCGGTAAAAGACCTTAGGAAAAAGTATGGAACCAAATATAAACTGCATTTCAAAGTTTCCAAAGGCAGTAATCGATACCTGTCTGCTTACAAGCGAAAGTGGGACCTTCTACTACGACTCGAAGAGTGGGAAAACACTTTAAACAGCTCTAGTCCACATGAACCATACATTTCTGTTGAAAACAAAGTAGACAATTGTGGCCCCCCTGAAGGATTTGTTTACATAACAAAGAGCATAATGCCTTCTAATGTGGACTATCTATTTGATAAGAATTATCTAGTGGGATGTGAATGTGTCCGTTGCACCCCCCTGACCTGTGATTGCACTAAGAATAGTGGGTCAGACTTTGCTTATGATAGGATTGGTAGAGTTCTATTTGAACCAGGAAAACCCATCTATGAATGTAATTCAAGCTGTTACTGCTCTGTGTCCTGCCGCAACCGAGTTGTACAGAGAGGGAGGACAGTTAGGGTAAGTTTGTTTTGCAGTTGCTATACTAAGAACATTTCATGTGATATAGCAATATGCAGAAATCATGATATAAAATATATCAGCAATTATGGGATATCATCGCTGATATTATTTTGACATTGCCTTGTACTAGTACTTTCTGAAAAAAAATATTGGCGATGACATCCCATAGTTTCTGACATAGTTTATATATACTTGAAATATGAGTAAAAAAGATCATATTTTTTT